TTTTTTTTTGAAAGATTTTATTTACTTATTCATGAGAGACACACACAGAGAGAGAGAGAGGCAGAGACCCAGGCAGAGGGAGAAGCAGGCTCCATGCGGGGAGCCGGACGCGGGACTCGATCCCGGGACCCCGGGGTCACGCCCTGGGCTGGGGGCAGGTGCTCACCCACTGAGTCCCCCCGGGAGCCGATAAGGCCCGTTTCCGCCAGGAGCTGAGCAGGTGGCGGCCAGGCGGGTGCACGCTGGTGAACGCCGGGGCCCACCCACCGGCCCAGGACTGCGGGTGCTCCGTGGCCTGTCAGCCCCTCAGCCGCCCCCAGAGTGTCTCAGGGCCTGGAGGGGCTGCCCCTGGGTGGGCCGTGTCGCCAGTGCCGTGTGCTTGGCGGCTTTCCTGCTCAGCAACCCCCAGCACTGTCCAGGCGTCCGCCTTCTGAGAACCGACTTCCCAGCCTCGCGTGCCTGTGTTTCACGCACAGGCCTAGACGGCGTGGGCCCCCCTGCTGGCTGCCGGGGAAGGGGCAGCATTTCTGTGACTGTGGGCAGGGGCCGCACCCCTGCAAATCTGGAGGCCTCCCTAATGGGGACCGGGGACCGTGTCTTTCCTCCCTGGGTGTCCCTGTCCTCCGTCACTCGCTTCCTTGGGCTCGTTCCTCCCTCAGGCTGGAAACTATGCCAGCAGGGAGGGCAGGCTTGGTTTCCGAGGGGGAGCATGGGGTATTACTTGCATCTGATTTATTCTGGATTTGCCACGCTGCTGTGCTAAGGAGCAGGGGCAGCCAGGAGCGGGTCGAGGGGTGGCCAGGGCCTGCTTGCCAAGGAGGCCACGCGGGAGTGGGAGTGGGGCGGGGACGGCTCGGACACCCCGCAGCCTTCTCTGGGCTCTGGGACAAGCTCATGTGGGCCCTGCCTCTCCCCGGGCGGGTGTCCGGCCTGGAGCCCTCGGCTCAGTCCCGCAGCTCTCCTGAGGCCTTGTAGGGTGAAGAGCAAGGTCTGCGTCCTGGGTGTCATCAGGGACACCCAGTGCGTGGCCAATGGACGCAGGAGGGGACTTCCGGGGCAGGCAAGGAGGTTGTAGGCCTCGACCTGGCTTCGTGCATCCTCGGCGTCAGGCCGCTGCGGGCTGACTTAGGTTCCCCTGCGCAGCTGTCCGCCCCTAGGGGTCCGTTCCAGGACCGCCCTCTCACCCTCCCGGTTTCTCCTTCCTCACGCTCTCCTGGTGTGTTGCTGTCCCGTCACGTCCGGGTCTGAGACGGTAGTCATCCCCCCGCTGGGGAGAAACAGCATCTCGGAAGACATTGTCACAGTTGACGTCAGCCGCCGTGTGATTCCCTTTTCCGGGGCTTTGGTGGGTCCCCAGATGAAGGGCTGCCCATCAGATGCAGTCGCGCTGGGTCCTGCTGGTCCCTGGGCGGTGGGGGGTGGTGGAGGGTGTGCAGAAACCCAGTTTGAGGTTTGGTGAGCAGGGACGATGGGAAGAGGGGACCGGAGGAGACCGGAGGAGAGGCGAGGATTAGGAGGGTCCGGCAGGGGCAGGAGAGATCAGAGGCGGGGCCAAGGCGGAGGGACCTGGGGTCGACCTCAGCTCCTCAGCTCCTGGTCTGTAAAGTGGGGCTCACGGGGCTGCGGCCAGAGGGTCAACAGGTGAAGTGCGTGTTCCGCTTGGTGCGGGTGATGATGGTAAGTGGGGTGGTGCCGCCTGCATCCCAAGGCTTGTCGCGAGCCCCCGGCCTTGTGGACAAAAAGGGCTTCGCTGCTCTCAGTACGATTCCACTCGTGCGGTTCCTCCCGCCGCTGACAAGGGGGAGCCCCAGAAGGAGGCCTGGGCCCCCGGGTTCCCTTTCCTCCCTCCCCTCCGCATCCCCTGGTGAGTGGAGCCCAAGCCCCCACCCGCCCTGCTGCCTCATGTGCCCTGGGGCCGGCAGGAGGGGTGCACGGGAGGGGGGGCAGGGGGAAGCCAACCTGAAAGTGAGGGCGGGAAAATGGGGGGCAGCGGAGCCGCCTGGAGCCACGTTTGCGTGAGGAGCCGCCCCAGCTCTGGCTCGCTGCGTTTCCACGCGGGCTCTTCCTTCTTTGTCTCCCCGCCTGTGTCCTGGCCTCCTGTCTCCTCCCTCCTGCCCTGACCCCTTCTCCTCATTCTCCGGACCCCCAGTTCGCCCCCACGGTCCCTGCCGCCCCTTCTGGACAGCTGCCCTGAGGTTCCATCCATTGTCCCTCCGATGCGGCCCTGCAGGCCCTGCAGCCCCCTGGCTGCCATCCGTTCCTCTCCTGGATGCACCCCACCCCGCCCCTCCCTTCCCCTCCCATAACCTCATCCCCCTGCCGTCCCCTTCCTCTCCCTCTGCCTCCAAGTCTCCCGGCTCGCCCGCCTGCTTCTATCTTCCTCTTCCATATTGGGGCTCCCTTTCTCCCTATTGACCCCTCTGCCCCCCCCCAGCCTTCACCCCGTGCCCCCCCCACCCGTTCTCTCCATGTCAGCTTCACTGCTTGGATTTAGGGCTCACTGCAGGGCCCTCAATCACTTGCTGACATGACAGTGATCACAGGACTAAACTGTCAGGAGCACTTACTATGGACAAGGCAATTCCCGTACTGGGTCATCCTCTCAGTAGCCCTGTGACGTGCTCTTACGGTCCCCATTTTACAGATGAGGTCAGTCGGGCGTAGACAAGTTAAAGAACGTGCTGAGGGGCTCACCAGTGATGCGCGCCAGGACTTGGATGCAAACCTGACCGCGGAGCCTGTGTCTTGACCACGGGAGTCAACGCAGGCCCTGGGAGACCGTTCTCACTCTCTCTCCCCTTGAGCTTAAGAGACCCCTCGTTCTTTAAAGGTTATTTATGTATTTTAGGGTAGCCCGGGTGGCTCAGTGGTTTAGCACCGCCTTCGGCCCAGGATGTGATCCTGGGGTCCCGGGATCGAGTCCCACATCGGGCTCCCCACAGGGAGCCTGCTTCTCCCTCTGTCCGTGTCTCTGCCTCTCTCTGTGTCCTTCAGGAATAAATAAATAAAATCTTAAAAAAAAATAAAGTCTATTTATGTGTTTTGGAGAAAAAAGAGAGGGGGAGGGGCTGAGGGGGATGAAGAGACTCTCAAGCAGACTCCCTGCTGAGCGTGGAGCCCAGTGTGGGCCTCGATCCTGGGATCCTGAGGTCGCGACCTGAGCCGACATCTAGACGCCTAACCGACTGAGCCACCAGGCGCCCACGAGAGCTTGTTTTTCTTTTCTTTTCTTTTCCTTTTTTCTTTTTTTAAAAGATTTTATTTATTTATTTGACACAGGGAAGGGGACAGAGGGAGGGAGAGAGCGTGAGCGAGCGAGCACAAGCAGGGGGAGCAGCAGGCCTCGGAGGGAGAAGCCTGCTCCCAGCTGAGCAGGGACTTTCTTTGAGCAGCACCTTGGAAGCTCGGGCTTCCTCGGCCCCTTCCCCTTTCTATGCACGAGGCCAGATCTAACGTAACCTCAGGTGCTTATTCCAGGTGGCAGTGCTGGGGACAGCCCATGTCACCTCAGGTCATCGCCATAGTAACCGCAAGGCAGCCTCTCTTCTCATCTGCATTTCGCACTGGAGGAAACTGAGGCACGGGGAAGTGAGTAACGTGCCCAGAGTCACACAGTCGTGAGTGGCGAGGCCGGACTTGAGCCCAGGCCTTTGGCTCTCGAGACCCCGCCCCCTAAGCCGGGACCCTGCCCCACCCAGCCCTGGGGAGGCAGCCGTTGGTCCCCCCACTGTTGCTGGCCCAGCCGCTCTGCGAGGATCCCCCGTGCCCGGGCTGCAGCCTGTCTCCGTGGGCACTGCCCCCTGCCAGCAGCGCCGCGGCCCTAATGGGTGCCGGAGGGGATTTATTGGCTGCTGCCCCCAGGGAGCAGGGACAAGTGTTTTCCTCTCCAGCCCTGCTGGGCCGCCTCCGGGCCTGACAGCTCCCTCGTTCCGGCCCATCGCGGCAGCTGATTTACCTCGGTGGCCGGGGATTTAGCTGCTGTCCTGGCTCCTACTATAAATCCCCCGGCAAGTAACCGAGCTCTGCATCACCGCGGCCGACAGGGAGCGGGTGGGAGCAGATGGCCAGGCCGCGGTGCAGGGGGCGGTGCAGGGGGCAGGAGGCACGGCGGGCGGCCACAAGGCCCCTGGGGCTCCCCCACCTGTCGAGGACGGGACTGCTCCGCTGGCGCCCCCCGCCCTCCGCCCCGCGAGTCCGATCGCCGCTGCCCCACCTGACGCCTATTGGCCTGGCACCGTGGGAGCGGGAGAGAACCGGCTGCCGTCTTGGGCGACTAGGCCGCAAAGGGTTGGGCGATGCTTGGCGCCCTGGGACCCTGTTTGGTGCATATGGAACGGAGGCCCTGCCCCAGTGGGAGCGCGGCTCCAAGAAACAGGCGGTGGCAAGACCTCCCCAGTGGGAAGCGGGACGACCCCAGGCTGTAGGTCACCTGAGTGGCGGCTACAGAGGCCTCTGCCAGACGGGCTTGAGTTAGGCTGTGTGAACCCCGAAGGGTAGAGGTGCTTCCCACAGTGAAGGAGGGCGGGTGTGGTAGCCGTGGGCGGGCCCCCCAGCCGTCACTCCCTGGGGCGGACTGGGGAGCACCCTGTGGCAGCTCGGCGTCCACACTGCAGGCGGCTCGGGTGGGGCTGGGGGGCCGTCCCTCTATCAGAGCCCCTTTCTCCCCTGGCTTCCTTGTGACCCCTCTTTCTCTGGGTCCCCCAACATCTTCTCCTTGCGGCCCCTGCCCGGTGCCCCTGCTCCTTCCCACTCGCCTTGTCTTTCCCGGGGTGCCCTCTCTGTACCCAGAAAGCACTTCTCCCACTTGGCTGACCGGCCAGCGGCTCGGGGCTCTGGTCCCACTCCCCGGACCTCCCTGAGCCTGGAGCCTGCCCCGGTGTCCGTGCCATTTTGTTCTCCTACTGCTCATCCATCTTCGCTGTCCCCCCGCCCGCCCCCCGCCCCCTGCCTCCGCCTGGGAGATTACAGACACTGAATCAGCAGCCAGCTCCAGCGTTCTGCTGACGGGGGACTTTCTGCCTCTGAGGGCTCCTTGGTGGGATCAGGGCCCCTCCTGCAGCCCGGGGACTTGGGGTGAGGGGAGGAAGGCTGCGCAGGATGCTGGGTGGAGAGGGAGGGGTGTGGGCAGAAGGTAGGGGAGATGGGACGGGGAAAGGGGCACAGCCTGTGTGCAGAAGACAGAGGAAGGATGAAAACCCAGCGAGGGGGTGGGAGGGAGGCGGAGGGGGGAGAGAGGGCGAAGGGGGCAGGTGGCGGGGTGAGCCCTGCCCACCAGCCCGCAGACCTGGCCCGGCTGGCTGTCCCCACTCCGGCTGGCTGTCCCCACTCCCGGAGCGCCCGCCTGGCCAGGCCCCCTGGGACGGGGCTGCAGGGTGCAGGCGGGAGCCCACCGGCCCGGGTCCAGGGCTCTGCCTGGCGCCTCCCTCTCTCCCTCTCACGTGGTGGTTTGTACTTCATCTTGTTTGTGGGGCGGCTGGGCCTGCTCTCGGGGTTTAATGATCTGTGCCATTATTTATAGCTTTGCGCGCCGAGAAACACACTGAATTTATCGCTTGCTTCTATAAATAACCCTGGCAAACGGGTGCCCAGGGAGGAGGGCGGGAAGGGGAGGGAGAAGTGAAGAAAGGAGAGGTGGGGGGTAGGGCAGGCGAGGTCTCTGCGGAGCGTGTCCCCAAAATGGGATGACGTGGGTGCTCAAGGACAGCAGCGGCCGGCAGGACGGTCCGGGTGCGGGTGTGTGTCTGAGGGCGGGTCGCCAGGCACAGGCCAGGGGCGCCCCGGGGTGAGGAGGGTGATTTCGGTGGGGGGTGCGCCTGGTACCATGTTGGCAGCAGTGAGGCTGCGAGGCCCGAGGAGCGGCTGCTGTATGGCGGGGCGTCCGCGGGCTGCGGGGGCTGGGCTGGGCTCAGGCCCCTTGCTCTGTGGCTGAGGCCGCGTTTCCCACGGAGGCCTCGGGAGCAGGCTGTGTGCACGTGTCCGTGTCCGTGTCCGTGGCAGGCTGGGCCGGCGGCGTCCTGTGGGGCACCAGGGCCACCTGCTCCGAGACCCAGAGGTCCGGGGCTTTGGGGCCTGGTGGCTGCAGAGGTGGGGGGCGCGGTGAGGCTGGGGGGTGAAGCCGGGTGCCTGCGGCTCACCGTGGCGCCTCCAGGACAAGGAGCGGCTCTGGGGACGAGGGCTCGGGCGCTGGCACCGCTCCTGCTCCTGCTCCTGCCCCGCCGCCCGCGCTCCTTCTGCTCGCAGCCGCAGCCGTTAGCTCCGGGAGGCCTCCGCATCTCTAATGAGGACATTTGCATATATAACGAAGGCCCTTCACAGGTGTTGGAGAAGCTGCCCCTCCTCTCTTTTCCCTTTCTTCTCTCCTGCCAGCTGCCACCCTGACCTGGGGTTCTAGGGGTGTGTGTGGGGGGCTCCTGCCACTCAGCTGGAAGAGGAGCGGCGGGGTCCCAGGTGCAGGCCAGTCGTGGGGATTCCCCCCCCCCCCCCGGCAGAAGCCGCCAAGGCAAGCGCCCACCGTGGGTGTGCTCAGTACCAGCTGCGTGGGTGCACGCGTGAGCCTCCCGCACTGCAGGAAGGTCGAGGTCCGCGTGCCGGCTCCGCCAAGTGTGCTGCAGCCTGTGGGGACGGCCCAGGAGGGCGCAAGCATGCAGAGCACGTCCCGGGCTGCCCCCCACACGCCCTGCGCCGGGCTGCCAGCACGCGCTCCTTCACATCCACAGCCTGGCACCGAGGCAGGCAATTAGGGAAGATGCACCTGCACCAACACTTGTTCCGCCCAAACGCGGCCCCTCCCCCGTCCCTCCTCCCTCCCTCCCCCCTTCCAACCCTAACCTTCCAGGGTGATTCTCAGGGGGCCGCCCGCGCTTATCCAGGCCACGCCACTGCCTCCCCGAGACCTATCAAGCCCACACGGGGCCATCCTCCCGTACACAGACTGCGTTAGCTAGCAGGGGCGTCTCCTGGGGGCCCAAGTCCCCGCAAGGTCACTCTCGGGCTATCCCCTCCAGCCCTCCGCTGGCCCAGCAGCCGAAGCGCCCGCGCCCCCCGCCGTTGGTCCTGCCCAGCCACGTGACCCTCCCCTCCCTGGCAGCTGCCCGGATGATGGATGCGCTGCCAGGCCGTACCTGTTGGGGGACAGGGACCGCACAGCTCCTAATTACCTCCTTCTCCAGCCGGGGTTGGGGGCTGGGCGCCTCCACGGCTCCCCTCTCAATCCACCGGGGCCAAGGCTGGCGTCCCGAGCTAGAGCTTGGCCTGAACGGCTCTGGGGTGATGGGGTGCTGGGCCCTAGCCTGGGGTTTGGGCTGGAGCGGGGGGTGCTGCTTCCGGAAGGCTGATGGGGGGAAGGAAAGCACACTCTCGGTGACCTGGGAGGCTGCGATGGGACTTTGAATAAATGACCCTTCTCCAAGCCCTTTACACCGAGGGCGAGATTCGGGTTAAATGTGGAGGAGAACTTCCCGACTCTGGGATAAGATGCAGTCGAGCAAGAGACCGGAAGGCAGAAGTAGAGGTTTGGAAGCCTTCTCAGAAGGCAGGCAACTGAGACCAGCCTTTTCCGGCCTGCGGGAGGCTCTCGGGGGGTCAGTGCAGAAGTAGGCCGCGTGACAGTGGTGCGGCTTGAGGAGAACGGGGAGAGGTTCTTGCAGCGGGGGTGGGGGTGGGTGACCCTGAAGTGGAAGCTCAAAGAGGTGGGCTCAGATCAACCAGCACGGGGGGGGGGGGGGGGGGCGAGATGTCTGGGCTTGCTGGGGGACGGATGGGGAAGACCTGGGGATCCTACAAATGGTGGAGCTCCTCCAGCCTTCTCCAGTGGGCACCAAGACGTAAGGGGCAGCTGTGTGTCTTCAGGAATTCGCCAGGGCGGTGGGTGCCTGGAGATGGGCCAAGAGACGGTCACAAATGGGTGGGGCCTCTACAAGATTTGTTCTGACTCTGAGATCCCAGGAGTCCCCAGATTAGGATTCTCCGTAGGTTTTGAGAAGGGAAGCCAATGGGGCACCTGGCTGGCTCAGTCAGTAGAGCATGCGACCTCTGATCGCGGAGTCACGAGTTTGAGCCCCACGTCGGGTGTAGAGATTACTTACAAATAAATAAACAGGGGCACCTGCGGGGCTCGGCCAGTTAGGCATCTGACTCTTGGTTTCAGCTCGGATCATGATCTCCGGGTGGTGAGATGGCCCCGCGTGGGGCTCCACGCTCTGTGCAGAGTCTGCTCGAGACTCTGGGTCTCCATCTCCCTCGGCCCTCCCCTCGCTCACCGTCTCTCTCTTTCCCTCTCAAATCAGTAAGTAGATAAACCTTTAAAAACGAGAAAGCAATGCCTTAAAAAAAAAAAAAAAGAAAAAAGAATAAAATTCTAAAAATGAGTAAGAGAAGGGAAGCCAGGGAAGGTGGGCTGATTGCTGGTGGCTGCCGGGCCCCTCCTCCGGGGCAGCGGACATGACGGCGTGGCGGTGATGATTGCTAGTCACTCTTCTGTGGGTCACAGAAATGACAGCCCCAGCGGGATTCATCAATCACAGTCCCCCCATCTTTGAGGTCCTCTTGGTTGAGGGAAGGGAGGTGGCCTGAGCTCCTTGGCTCCCAGGTGCCAAAGGAGGACAAAATCAATGTTTTCCCTGTAAGGCAGGTGTCTCCCTTACGTCAGTCAGGGCCTAGTGAGCAGGAAGGCAAGGGGCATGTGGGCTCCCAATGCCCCCCGGGGACCCCTCTTCCCAATGGTCCCCCATCTCTACTGTCCCTCTGCCTTCTCTGAGTTTCCGTGGGCCTCAGGTGGTTGGACTGCCCTCATCAGCGGTGCCCTCACACCTGTCCCCCACCTGACTCTCACTGCCCTTCTGGGCCCATGGGCTGCTGGATGGTCAGCCGTGGGTGCCCTTCACCACTGGCACGAGATCTGGGGGGACATGCCAGGTGAGGAGAGGCTCACTCTGCTCCTGGCTGTGCTCTCTGCTTCAAGGAGAGCTTTCTTCATGTGCACGCTGGGGTGCAACGCTCCTGCCCATTCAGGGCAGTTAGAGGAGGGAGACAGAGGGGCGGGGAGCTGGTGATCCATCATCTCCCCCCTCAAGCAGACCAGGGTGGTTTTGTGGAACCAGACTTTCCTGATCTTAGCGTCGCACTTAGGCGTATGTGGGGGCATGTCTGTGCACGGGTGCACACTCTCACCGTGCAACATGGGCACGCCCCTGCAGACCACACCCGACACTCACAGTGAGGCTCTTGGTGTTGGAGGCTTTCTTTCTTTCTTTCTTTCTTTCTTTCTTTCTTTCTTTCTTTCTTTCTTTCTTTCTTTCTTTCTTTCTTCTTTCTAAGATTCACTTGTCTATTTAAAATTGAGAGACACACACATAGCATGATTGGGGCGGAGGGGCCGAGGGAGAAACAGACCCCATGCTGAGCAGGAGCCCGACATGGGGCTCGACCCAGATCATGACCTGAGCTGAAGGCAGCCGCCCAACCACCTGAGCCCCCCAGGCGCCCCTGTCTCAGGCTTCCGTCTTCCCCAGAAACTGTTTCTAGGGTAAATCTCCAAATAAACCTCTTTGCGTGGGTTCCCCTCTGACCCCAGATGAAAACTTTTCATGACTCCTTGGTGCCCTCGGGGTGAGGCTCCGATCCCTAGCCTAGCATCCGAGGCCCTCTCTGATCTGGTGCTAACCTGACCTGCCAGCCTGGTCTCCCGTAATCCTCCACCAGGAGTGTTTTCCTAAAAAAAATCATATACACTTACATTTCTCTTCCCGTGTGGATCCCCAGGGGCCGTGCCGTCTTCCATCCACGGCTCTAGTGGGTGAGGCTCACCTCCTCCGGGAGGCCTTTTTCACTGCCTCAGCTTTTACCAACTTCTTCCTTAGCTTGGTTTTCGACATCTGAAGAAATCTGTCTCTGGGTTGGGATGAGAGGCTGCTCTGTCCCCACGTGTGAGCCTCTCGGAGCAGAGCCTGTATTTATTCATCCTTAGTTCCCCTCTGCCAACATGGTGCTTGGCATCCGGGTACGTAAGTGGCTGCGGACCTGGCTCTGGGGAACAGCATCCATCGGAATTGGATCACGTCCCTGCTCTTGCTCTTCTTGGCTGTTCAACCTCAGGCAAGCAGCTTAGCTGCGCCGCTCACGATTCCTTTACCTCCTGCAGCCTTAGTTTATCTACATGGAAAATAGAATTAATGCTGGGACGCCTGTCCTCATCCTCACCACCACAAACACACCGAATCTTAGAGTATGGGGCTCTAACCCCCCTAGATAGGGGCACGGGAGGTCCCTTTCAGCACAGAGGGGCGGGGGTGGGTGGGTAACGAGCTCAATGGTGGCAGTTACACTCGGGTGTCTGGAGGGTCCTTGCTCCCTGGGAGAAAGCAGCTTGGCGTCAGGTCCAGACGGACAGCGTGGATTTAGGCCACTTCCTTTAGCTCCTGCACCCTTGGTTTATCTATACGGAGAGCAGAGTTAACGTCGCAGGCTGCTTTGGGCCATTGGAGAACCTGCAGCCAGTGGGAGCTTAATCCATGCCCGGTGTGGGTAGGGGTGCAGTTATCTGGGGACCTGTGTCTGCGTCCCCTTCCCTTCTCCTTCCTCCTAGTCTGGGCTCTGCCCTGTTTCTTTTCTCCTTGATTATTGCCCGGGAGAACCTGCACCCACCTCTCCTCCAGTCGGCCTGAGTGGCTTGGCATCAGGCCTTGGTGGTGTTCCTGACCCGCGGCCGCTGGCAAGGTCTGGGCTGCGAAACACCTCCGTGAGCTTCTAGGGAGCTCCTCTGGCCGAGTCTCCTGCGCACTTGCTGCTCTGCAGGAATCACGAGATTTCCCACCGCCCCAGATTCCCTTAGTCCCAATTCCCCTGCCTCCGGGACATCCGGCCCCCATCTGACCTCTGGGATCTCTCCCAGCCTAGGCCATGTCCCCCTTGCCTCATTGCCCTTCCCTGGGAATACTGAGGCTGGAGTTGTCCACAGAGGCCAGAAAAGTTCCTCAGAAGTATGAGGAAGGGGGAGGGGTCTTCAGTGAAGGGAGACCCCCTGTCCTATATTTCAGTCTCTGTCTCCTCTTTGCTTCCCATGGCACCCTAGGGGAGGGTTGGAGGAAGGCCCCAGTGTGCACCCCCGAGCCCCTATGCCCCAGCCTGCCAAGGACCTTAAAGGCAAGAGAAGGCAACAGAGGCCTCTTTTGTAGGGAGCTGAAGGGTACCCGGGCATGTTCAGGGGACCCCGGGTCTGGCTTCCCAGGCCCTCTGCGCTCCGAGATCTCCAAGGACCTTGGGGGCCTCCAGACTTGGGAGCAACTGCTGTTTATGGTGTGGGGGGTTTACTCCTACCCCTGCCTCTCAGCCCCGGGCTCTTGAGGGAAGCGGGGGATGGACTGTGGGAAAACTGATGGAGAGGAACCAAGCGTCGCTTTGGGAGGACGTGGGTCGGTGCCTTCCCACCGCGCCCTTGGACAGCTGGGAGGATCTAGTAAGATCTAGCACTTTCTCCTAGGAAAGGAGGGCCTTAGAAAACCAGCGGGGACATCAGAGGGGAAACTGAGGAGAGAAGAGGGGTCAGCAGTTTGGGGGCGGGGGTGGGGGCTGCAGCTGCTAGAAGGCGGGGTAGAGAGCCAATAACAAAATGCCAATCAGGGGAGCCCGGCTGACTCTTGATTTGGGGGTTATGAGTCCGAGCCCTATGCTGGCTGCAGAGATTACTAAAAAACTTAAAAAAAAAAAAGAGGGGATCCCTGGGTGGCGCAGCGGTTTGGCACCTGCCTTTGGCCCAGGGCGTGATCCTGGAGACCCGGGATCGAATCCCACGTCGGGCTCCCGGTGCATGGAGCCTGCTTCTCCCTCTGCCTGTGTCTCTGCCTCCCTCTCTCTTTCTGTGTGTGTGTGTGTGACTATCCTAAATAAATAAAAAAATTAAAAAAAAAAACAAAACCAGTGCCAGCCAGGACACAGAGAGATTGACTTGGTCATGAATGCCAGTGTCCTAGTATCTGGGTCAGTGTGAGTAAGTGTGTGAAGGCCCTTGAGGCTGCGGCTGAGTCCCTATGTCCGTTTTTCTGCCCGGGACAGGCGTCTGCGGTGGGAGGCCCGGGGGGGGGGCGGGGGGTGCCTGGGCAGAGCCACGCAGTACTTGCCCCGACCTGGGGCTCTCCCGGGCTGGCGCTGTCTGCTGTTAGTTTCCCAGCCACTCTTGATCTGATTTAAAAAATATATATAGGGATCCCTGGGTGGCGCAGCGGTTTGGCGCCTGACTTTGGCCCGGGGCGTGATCCTGGAGACCCGGGATCGAGTCCCACGTCCGGCTCCCGGTGCATGGAGCCTGCTTCTCTGCCTCTCTCTCTCTCTGTGTGTGTGTGTGACTATCATAAATAAATAAAAATTAAAAAAAAAGAAAAAGTAAAAAAAATATATATACACACACACACACATGCACACGCACACGCACATGCACAGGCACACGCACATGCACACGCACATATGTATACACAGATTCACTCTCCACTCTCCACAACCTCCCCTGCTCTCTCCAACCTCTCTTCCTTCTAAATAGTTATGTGTGAACTCTGACCCTGGGAATCCGCTTGGGGGGAGCATTTTGGGAAAACATGATAGAGCCTCGTAAAGAACTCTGACAGCTTGCAAACAGCCTGCGCTAAATTGCCCCTTCAAGTCAAAATTAAAGCAAATGTCTGTTTTACGGCCGTGTTTTCTTGGGCTGCCGCTGTGGTGGGCGTGCGGGCCGCCGGAGCGGGGAAGCCTGCGGAGGGTGGAGGCTCTCGGGGTGGTTTGTGCCCGGGCTGGGGACCAGCCGTCCTCCGCGGAGCCTTCTGCTTGGCCGCCTGCAGCCCTCCCCCTCCACCCCTCCTGTCCTCAGAGAGTCCTTCTCCGGGGCCCCCTCGGCCCCCGGCTCCGGGGTGGTTGGGAGAGCTCTTGCTCTTTCTGGGGCACCAGCCGCCTAGAGGGCCCGTGGAGGAAGGCCTGAGACCATCCCGGCCCGGGGCTGGGCCTGGGGTCTGGACGTCCCCGGGGCCCCTGGTGGGCCTCGGGGTCGCCGGCAGGCTCCAGCTCGCCCCTGGCCTCGCGCTCTCTCCACACCTAGTCGGCCTTCCTGTGTCGGGGTTGAGTGAAGGTGCTTTGAAGAGAAGTTCTAAGGCGCTGCTGCTGCTGCTGCTGCTGCTGCTGCAGGAAACCGCCCTGGTCTTCTCTAATCCCTTCATTGTACTGTACAATGTACACTACAATGTACACTGTACTGTACATCGAAGAAACTGAGGCCCCGAAGGGAAGTGTTGGAGAAGATCCTTGAATTAGGTCAAAGGAAATCTGGCCTGGGCTTTGGTTTCCTCACGTGGACAAAGAAGTGCGTAATGATGACAGCAGCGGTGGTTCTTGACCCCTGGATGTGCAGGTTGTCAGTGCTACACATTCCCACGCGTCATCCCATTAAAGATTCAATCACTCGGGGCGCCTGGGGGGCTCGGCGGTTGAGCGGCTGCCTTTGGCTCAGGGCTGGTCCCGGGTCCTGGGATCGAGTCCCGCATCGGGCTCCCTGCTGGAGCCTGCTTCTCTCTCTCTCTCTCTGCGTCTCTCATGAATAAATAAAATCTTAAAAAAAATGTATTCCCATGAGAACACTCAGGTAAGGGAGGTGAAACGAGTTGGCTGAGGTCCTTTGGGGACAACGGCAGACTCGGAAGCCTGGCAGGCCCCCTCCAGGCCCCGGCACCCGGTCAGTACTCGCGTGAGGACTGGATGCAGAGTGGAGCCCAGCCCGTGACCCCTGGGCCGCCGCTCCGCTGCCCCGGGCTCCTGCTCAGCTGGGGGGTGAGGTCTCGGGCTGTCCAGGGGCCGCTGGGGTCCCCTGTCCTCGGGGCTGGGAGCTCGATGCGCAGCCCACACCCTGGATAAGGGGCCTTTGGGCCACCATGAGGCTTCTTGAAAGAGGCTTTGGAAGACCGAGAGGAGTTTCAGGTTCATTGTGAGGGACTCCGGGAAGTCGGAGGGGCCTTGCTCGGGGCACCAGCCGTGCAGCGTTTCGGGAAAGGCCGTCCCTGCCCCTGCCCCTGCCCCTCGGGAGATGGTGGGGTGCGCAGCCATCCTGGCTCAGCTTGCAAAGCCGGGCGTGACGCCCCCTCCCCGGTACACCACGTCCCTTCTACCCTGGTTGTTCCAGCCTCTTCCAGAGGCTTCGCTGCTCGAACTGGATGTTGGATCTGGCTTCCTCCTCAGAAGACAATTTATGGCGACATGTCGGAGACTCTGTTTTAATGAAGTTGCAAAAGTAGGTTAATGGGCTGTGGGTGTTTTTCATTCCCTCCCCCCTGCCCCGTCTCCACCCCTGGGCAGATGAATGATGCCTCTCCCCGCACGATGCAGTCGGGCTGAGGATCTCCGGCCCCGACTCCTGTGCTCACACATCCCTTCCGTGGCCCCCGCCGGAGCCGCAGCACGCTCCTCCCCGCAGCCGGCATCGCGCCCCGCACGGCCAGCCCCAAGCCCTCCTGCGGCAGCCGTGGCCTGGAGATGCTCCGAAGCCTGCCCACGGGGGAAGAGCTGGGCACACCTGAGAGGCAGGAGCCGCAGGGCGAGGGCTGGGCCGGCTGTGGGACTCTGGGGAAGAAGGAAGCAAGAATTACGCTCGGCCAACGGGTTTCCTTCGGGTCAGAGAGGCCTGGAGGTAGGAGCTTAGCTCCGTGGACCTGGAGAACGTGCACGCTGACGCTGATATTTTGGGGGAGGAACCGAGCTCCCGAGAGCCTCTCCTGTTGCTATTCCCGCCTCTCCCGAGAGCCTCATCCCTGGGTCTCCCTGGGCCAGGCCTGATACCGGGCTCCCCTTGCAAATGTTTGCCGAGTGAATAACGGACACGAGAGTGAGTGAGCCTCGGTCTCTGGGGCCAGAGCTCACCTGTGCCCTTGCTCCCCTGAAACAGCCCTGCCGCTTGGGGCTCTTCCCTTCCCACCTGTCTGTCCAGTGCTCGCCCCAGACTGCTCTCTTTGGGGAAGTTTTCCATGACTAAACTGCTAGAATAAATCTCCATTTTTTTGTCTGGGTCTGGGATGAGGGTCTGTCATCCTGGAAAACACAGGTCTCCAGAGAAGGGTCTTTTCCCTCCAGACCCTCCCCTGCCTAAGCGACCCCCGGGCAGGGCTCTCGGGTTGGCGTTGGGCCCTGAGCCCCTTGTTCTTGAGGGCACACGCCCAGGGACCACCGAGCTGCACTGGCCCCTCTCTCTGGCCCTTCCTCCTGCAGAAAGCCACGGGCGTGCGTAGTCTCTGGCCTGCAGTCACTCCCGAGGAGCGAGGACCCTTCCCACTCCCAGCCCCTTGCTGTCCACAAATGGGATTTAGGGAGTGGGTTCGGGAGCACCAAAATGGGGTGGAGCAGGCCTCGCTCCCTTGCAATGAATGTCAGATCATCGCCCTCAACGGGGCTCCCCGCAGGAGCATCTGAGCCTTTCAGGCCGGCCTCACTCCCCCCCGGCCCCCTCCCCTTCCCTGTTTCTTCCCTGACACAGACGGGACATGCTTCTGGAAGGCTCCGAGGACCTCTCTGGGCCTTGCTGCGCCCTCAGTTCTGCTGCGGCCGAGGGCGAGGCGGGTGCGCAGCGCTGGATGTAGGTTGGGGGAGCTCGGGGGTATCAGCCAGGGTCTGCTAGAGGGACCCAGCTGTGTGCCACCTCGTCACCACGTCCGAGGAGCTGGAGACCTGGAGGTTAGATGGTGGGAGGCCCGGCCTGAACCGCTGGGGTCCAGCTTTACTCTGCAATGAGGATGTGACCTCCACTCGGTTGGAGCCGAGGGACTCGGTCGGTCGCCTGAGATGCTGGGGAGGGGCCTGGGCGCCAGGGAAGCCCGGAAGCCATGGTCGTTTATGGCTGGTGAG